TCTCTCTCTCTCTCTCTCTCTCTCTCTCTCTCTCTCTCTCTCTCTCTCTCTCTCTCTCTCTCTCTCTCTCCCCATTTCGATCGTGATTTATCGTGTGAATCTGTCGATGAAGAACTTGTCCGTGAACTTGGTGTGTCCATGATCTTGGGATTGGGAACCATGTAAGCGTCTTTCCAAACCCTCGCAAGTTTTTTTTTTCGCAAGGTCGAAATCAAGCGTGAAAACGTGAGGAACTTTGACACAACTTCGGCCGTCTCTCTCTCTCTCTCTCTCTCTCTCTCTCTCTCTCTCTCTCTCTCTCTCTCTCTCTCTCTCTCTCTCTCTCTCCATTTCGATCGTGAATTTTCGTGTCAATCCGTTGATTCTCTCTCCATTTCGATCGTGAATTTTCGTGTCAATCCGTCGATGCGGTTCTTTAACGTGAACTTGGTGTGTCCATGATGTCGGGATTGGGAACGATGTAACCATCTTTCCAAACCCTCGCAAGGTTTTATGTTCGCAAGGTCCAAATCATGCGTGCAAACGACTTTTTTTCCATAAGGCGTGAAAACGGCTTTTTTTTTAACAAGATCCAAATCAATGTATATAAACGAATTTTGTCCATCATGCGTGAAAATGGTTTTTTGTACATCTTTCCATCATGCGTGAAAACGACTTTTTTTTTCCGCAAGGTCCAAATCATGCGTGAAAACTCTCTCTCTCCATCATGCGTGAAAACGACTCTTCTTCCATTTTTCCATCATGCGTGAAAACGGCTTTTTTTCCCCAATATCCAATTCACTTCTTTTCTTTGTATGTCTTTTTTTGTCGATAGCACAGACGGACCACCAATGACGGCCACGTGGCCCTTTTACGGCGAGAGCCAGTGGATAAACGAAACGAAAATAAGAAAGCAGTGGACAAAGCATAGCAAAAATGTACAAAGTGTAGCATTCATCGTCTGTGCCAGTGTTTGCGTGGTTTGGTGTGTCCATGATGTCAGGATTGGGAACAATGTAACCATCTTTCCAAACCCTCGCAAGGTTTTATGTTCGCAAGGTCCAAATCATGCGTGCAAACGGCTTTTTTTCCATAAGGCGTGAAAACGGTTTTTTTTTTAACAAGATCAAAATCAATGTATCTAAACGGATTTTGTCTATCATGCGTGAAAACGGTTTTTTTTACATCTTTCCATCATGCGTGAAAGCTCTCTCTCTCCATCATGCGTGAAAACGGCTCTTCTTCCATCTTTCCCTCATGCGTGAAAACGGTTTTTTTTCCCCAATATCCAATTCACTTCTTTTCTTTGTATGTCTTTTTTCTGTCGATAGCACAGACGGACCACCAATGACGGCCACCTGGCCCTTTTACGGCGACAGCCAGTGGAGAAACGAAACGAAAATAAGAAAGCAGTGGACAAAGCATAGCAAAAATGTACAAAGTGTAGCATTCATCGTCCGTGTTTCATCATGCGTGGAAATGGCTTATTTTTTCGCAAGATCCTATTCAATTCATTTCTCCATTTGTATGTTTTTTTTCCTGTCGATAGCACAAAGCGGACGCACTAAATATTTGTGGCGAACCACCAATGACGGCCACGTGGCAAGCGTACAACCCACGCTCCGAAGGTGGTCGCCCATTTTCGGCGAGAGACAGAGGACAACTGACAACGNACAGAGGACAATTGACAACGAAAAAAAAAAAAAAAGCAGTGGACAAAGCATAGCAAAAGCGAAGAGGATACATCGCTTGTTTTTTGCCTTTATTATGAAACATACAGCGCTTTAGCAATCTCACCCTTCGAACACAGTATACATGACAAAACTTTTTACCATGCCTCGCAATATTCAATCAACATGTGCCACCCACCAAACACAATATACATCACAAAACTTTTTACCATGCCTCGCAATATTCGATGAACATGACCTTCGCCACACGTGGCGGGTTGACGAAAGTGGGGAACACAGTGGACTGGGAAGGAGCTAAAAATTCGGAAGATGGCGTGAGAAGAAGAGTGGAATGGAAAACAGAAGGGTATTCAACTTCGCGTCCATTGACATTAACCAATTCCATACACAGCCGGTTCCGTAAGTAAGTCAGTGTTGTACGTGCATCGACTCCGCTGAAGCGGATCTACGTTCATTGAGGGAAGAGGCGAATTCCATACACAGTCACCGCGCTTATAGAGTGACGTCGACTTCAACGCCCGTCCATCACCAACAGTCCTTGGGAATCCATAGCAGAAGTCCAGGATCTTCAGTTCGGAGTCGACCACCTTTCGCAAAATACGAGCGAATGATGACCGCCGCATGCGCAAGAGACCCAAGTAATGGTCATCCTCCGCATCATCACATGGAAGGAGATCCTTCCACAGACCACCTGTTCGGCGCATGACCCACCACCTCGGCGAAGCACGGGGTAACAGCTTGCAGAGATCAACAATAGTGGGCCATAGCCAAAGCAGTGAGCGTCCCCCACGGCTATCATCATCTGCATCATCGTCGCCCAAGAGGAG